TTCAAGGTCCAAGCACCTTTAATACTAGTAAAATCCATATACTATTCTCATAAAAGCTGATAATAGCAGTACAGTATTACTAAAATCTATCTGGGAACCATGATGCTGTACATTGTGGTTACAAAACACACAGGTCAGTTGAATGCAGATACAATAGAGATTTATTTCTGCACTCAAATCTACTTCATTTTATCTGCTAATTCTAACCTGCCTGAGCAAGAAACATCTTGTATTGATTAGCTGGTTTTGAAGACAATGAATGCTTTTAAAGTACATGACTCAGTAAATTAAGTACTTTCTGCAGTCTTGAATGCTATGTCAAGTGTCTTCTTTACAGGCTGAAGTTCATATATCTCTTTATGTTCGAGTGCTTTCAAGTGTTTTATATTTTACTTACAACTTCCTCTTTCTGCAGTAACTACAGTCTCTGAGCTGTGATTTAATGCTGTTTGTACAGCCCTTCACTGTGAGGCTGGGACATGGTTTAGCCAAGCAATTTCTCCCTCCTACTCAAATAAACCACACATTTTAAGAAAGCACAGCTCAAATATATAATACACTAATGTTATGGGCCCAATGAGGTATAACATAAAGTCTGAGTGAGAGTTGTTCTTTCATAGCCACAGTGTTAAAGTAAAGAACAATAACTCAGGTAACAACTGAAAGGGGCTGCAATGTGTGCTTGTGCATGCCACATGCTGAGTGTACCTGCTCTCAGCTCCCAGGGGCTCAAGGAGTCACTGAAGCTGCACGAGGCAGTTCCGGAAATTCAGAGTAGCTCCCAACACACTGCAACCACAACACCAGTGCCCGAGTCACCAGGCTTTATCTCAGGCTGAATGTCACTTCTGCTAAGGCAGTGTCAAGCTTTACCTCAAGAAAATGTTTCCATCCTTTCGTCTGCACTAGCAGACAAATTTGTCACACAACGTGCTGTCTGTGGAATTTGAGATAATGACAGTAACTGGGAGAAATAACAGGCAAAAACTCAGACTGGATATTGCCCAGGAGTTCAGTAACTGTAAGGAGTCCTGTTATTGTAAAATGGCAAAGTGATAAGGGGTGGAGTTTTGTTGTGGGAGTATATTGTCACTCTTTGTTGATGTTGTGATGATGTGGATTTTTTTTGTTTTGTTGATGTAAATAAGTCCATGATGAACATGCATGACAATTCAGCTCACTAACACCTCTGACTAACCTACAAAAGGGGATGTTGCCAAACATCATTGGTTTGAAGGGACTTTACATGGGCATGATATTAATTTCCTCCTTGGAAAAACATATAGCACTATATACTCTGAGCTTATGTAAAGTAGCATGACAAAGGAAATGGGAAGTTGGCATTGAAATCTATGAATTAATACTCATATCAAAATGTTGAGAAGGGAATCAGGGTGATATACTTCCCATTTACAAGCTCAATCCAAACTATCACCTCCCTCAGCTCATGAAAAGGTTGGAAATGGAAATTTTGTACAGTTGCCCTTTACTTTTCTTTGCTGTTGACTGGAGTTGGTAAGGTTTTAAGGGGAGTACTGTGGATATACATCCGCGTTGATAGGAACACTGTGCTACACAGGCTGCTTTGTAAAGGAGTGGCTGCTCAGGGTCTGCACATAGTGATCAAGTACCTGACAGCTGCTGCTGCTCCTGTTTTTCTTTTTTATTCAGGGATCCAGCATGAGAGTTGGACTGTGAATACTGTGCTATTATTGTTGGCTCACAAATGTTGAGCTGATGGTATTGATTTTCTGAAAAGATGTTTGGAGCAGTAATAAAAATAAAAGTCAAGAATGATGAGGCTTTACAAATAGCCAATAAAAGAATCCACAAAAAAACTTATTAAACTCTTGGGCTATTCAACCTTGACAATGTCCTTTTCAATCTGAATTTAATCTTCTCCTCATGCTTTGAACAGCCAACAGCATTTGTTTCTACGTTCACAATGCTCCACTGGCCCAAAGGATCACTTTCAGCTACAGCTTGCACTTCTAAGCTTTCACACTCTACGGAGTTTACTCTGGGAAAGCAGAGAGGGAAATGGGTAGTGTAGGACCTGAGTAAATGATAAAGGAAGGAACTACTTCTAAAGTCGGTGGGAGTTCACAGCATGGAGTGTCTGTGAAGCTAGACCCCTTATTAGGCTTCATGTGGTTCTCCCAAGCATACATGCTTTTCTTTTTGTAAACTTGGGGATTTACAATGTTTGATTTCCCCATGAGTAGGCGAAAAAATACAGTCATTTTTATTAAAAACTTTATTAGGTTACTAGATTTTTTAAAATACAAACACAAAGCAGTTGATGAGCACACTACCTTTAAAAAGAAATTTGATTTATACTGTGAGATGATATTCCTCAACTGTAGACAAAACTGACATTTGATCATTCAATACCTCTCAAAATAAAAAATTAATTATCCAGCATTAAATGCTCCACATTTAAGCTTTCCATAATGGAGTTCCCTGAAGAAAACTGACCTTCAGTGTCTGAATATTTCATTATTTCTGACACAAGGGACTTATGCCACTACTTTTGTTTAAGACCAGAGTAATTAGTCTCATTTTATTTCATTACACCAACAAAAAATTGGACTAATGCAGCTATAAATTAGGTGAAATATTTCTAGAACTACTAAGATAAAAAAGTAAAATGGGCAACATAATGTTCTTTATGGACAGATGCTAACAGTACTAAGTACATGGGATAATGTCTCATCCTACCAGCAGTTGCATTAAACTTACTGGGGTGTAAGTTATAGCATAAAATACAGTATACAGTTACCAGTATCTGACTGTGTGTTTGCACAATTCCCTCTATGAAGGGGTTCCCATCTGGAGATTACAAAAATACACATAAGAGACAGAATAAATTAATGAGCTTTGAAATGTAAGAGAAACACTGAGATAATTGAAACAACAAGATCTCTCCAAGCTCCAATAACCCACCCTGCTTCAACCATTACTGTCTTTGACTGTGATTTCTTTTTCTCCCAGGTGAATTCAAATCAGCAGTGTAAATCTACTCAAACAGTCTCCGAAGAAAGGACTTTTTTGTGGACGTTGCTAACTTCATGGTTTTCTTTTTGCGCAATGGTTTCATGGGTTGCTTTTTCAGGTGCACCACCTTTGGGGGAGTTTGTAGCCCTTTATTAAGGTCAATGTGCTTGTTGCAGAAGTACTTGACATTTGCTTCGGAGAGATGTAGAAGCATGGTCTCTGAGAGATCCATACATTGTGCGTGGACCCAGTGGCCAGTCCCGCTGGAACACAGGATCATTGCAGGCTTGTTGAGTTCTGTCGAATAGAAAGGGACCCAGGAGTTAATGTCAATATTGCAACTGGCACAGCAGGTGATCCAGTAGCCCGTCTCTGATTCATCTTCTTCATCATCCTCATTGTAAGTGTCAGTATCATCAATGTCAAAGCTACTGGCTTCAGCACTAAAACAAAACTCCTCCGAATCTTCAAATGGAGTGGAATCTCCAGGGTCTTCGCTTGATGTCTGACTGCAAATTTGTGTTGTCAATTCTTCTTCCTTGTCCTCTTCTTCTCGTTTGCATCTCAAAATGTAGAAGTAGTTTGCATCTGAGATTAACTGTTTGTTGGCCCCTGGAATGCCCAGCAATACAGACCCTTTGCCCATATCACAGCCAAACCATATTCTGCAGTGTTTAATATCTGGTGTCCACTCTGGGCTCTCCCTTTCAACAATCTTTATCTTACTGTCTTCCAGAACTATGGTGTTACACACCAACCGTTTCTCGTTGTCAGAGTGGTAGCCACCGACAAGGACAAATTCAGTATCACTGATTTGAGTCACTATAGCACTTGACACTGATATCCCCCCTGGCAAGATGGTGCAGGTCACAGATGGGCTGCCCAGTGGGAGATCAACTTTTAGCTTGTACAAGTTGGGGCACCTGGTGTTATTTTGAAGTGAATGGCCTCCCAAAATGTAGATCGTATCACCTCTGGCAATTGAAACGTGGAAAGAAAGTCCATCTTGAAGCTCTGGAAGCATGTATGATGTACAGCATCCAAACTCAAAATCAACAAGAAACACAGATGGCAAACAGTCAACTACGCTGTTCCATTTTTCAGTGGTTCTTTGTGCAAGAGGAGTATACGATCTCCCTCCAAATATAGCACTCATGCTTTTTCCCCGGCTATGAACTACACTAATTGTATGCCCATATCTACCTTCAGGGACATCTCCACCCAGGTCTTTCTCAATGCATTGGAACGTCATTTTCTTGCTATTTTTGCTTACCAGACTTATAAAGTAAATCTTATCAGAGAGGTCATTGTTAGGTGTTTTACCACCATGGATGATATACTGGTACTCATCAGACTTTGCATTGCTTCTGAGTGTGCAAAGAGCAGGGTAGCGGAGAGGGGGAAGGTAACATGAGTCTTTGGAGAAGGTGGCAGGTTTCATTTTGAGCTCATTCTGCTTTATATCGAGGAGGAAAACACCAGTGGGGCAGGACCTCTTTGGCCATCCTTTCTGCCCAAAAAAGAAAACATGCCCATCGAAATTCAGGAGAGAGAAGCCTGGCTGAAGCAAGGATGAGTTACTGACGGCTGATAGCATCTGCAGTGACATTTCATCTGTCGACTGGGCCATATTGTGCCTTCGAAAAGAAAAAAAAAACAAACAAAAGAAACAGATCAAACATGTATTATACCTTATGAGAATTATTTAACAGTACTTGAATAAATCGTATTAAAATCGCGCTTCAGCTCACACTTTGAGAACTGAAAAGACACCCTTTCCTGGGACTCAAGAGATGAGTCAAACATGAGCTGTGTGCCAGTTATGCGGGATTTTCTACAGATTATGGCCTTTTGGCACGGAGATCACCGATGCGCCTCCAGCGCTACGCTTGGGCGACCCCCCGGGACGGGCGCGGCCGCTCCCATGGGAACGCGGCCCCGCGGGATGCTGGGGCCGGTAGTTCTCGTTGGGCTGCCCGGCTCGGGGCCGCTCCGCTCGGCTCGGGGCTGCACGGCCGCCAGTTGGCTCGGCCCGGGCGTGGGGCATCGGGCGGCGGGGGAGTGTGGCCGCGGGGCCGGGGCCGCTCTGCTGGCGGCGGGATTCGGCTCCGGGGCGCCCGGGGGCGGAGGGAGCAGCCCCGGCGATGCCGCAAGCCGGGCTGGTTCCTGCCCCTTGGTTGTCCCGCGGCGGGCGGGGGTACCGCGCTGGAGCCGCCCGGGGAAGGGGCGCGGATCCCCGGCCTGGGCGCCCGGGGGCTGCGGGAGCCGCGTCTGCCCGCGCCGCCCCCGATCCCGCGTCCCGAGCGGCTCCGGCTCGCCCGGAGCGGCAGGAGCTCGGGGGACTCCTGCACATCCAGGTCCCTGGCCAGGAACATGCCCCAGAGCCCTGTGGCCAGTGGGCTGAAGTGCGTGCACAGCCGATGCAAACTTCAGTTACACGGTTTGCAGGGTTACAGGGGGGGGAAAAAAAAGTCAAAATTTGTTGGATACATTTAGAAGCAGTGATGCCCGCTCTGTTTCTAACCGTGCAGGTATCACTGAAGCGGCAGAGGCTGTTAGTGCCAGGGTGTATCACACTTGTGCTGAACAGTCCACTCAGAGATCTGGGTGGCTTGCGAGCATCCTTGCGGTATGTTTTCCATGTGTGGTCGAATTCTTTATCTTTCATGTTTACTATTTGCTCATGCTTTCACGAGTAGGTTTCAAGGGGTATCTTTTATAAACCTGTTTGTTCAAAAACCTAAAAGAGTTCATGTAGTCAGCCTGGGTAATAACACCGAAAGAGCTTTGGAGAGCACAGACACCAGGGAGGGAAATAACTGGCCTATTCATTGACACTGTCCTATGGTGACAGCAGAGACATGCCTTTTAGTAAATGTCCAAGTTCTCTGTCCCAGCCTTTGCCAAATCCCCAAAATTTAAAGATGTGAACTAAATATTAGGAAAAAACCCTAAATCCTTCTACATTTAAAAATGTAATTCCTTGTTTTGAAATCTTTAGGATTCATATTGTCCTTGTTCCTGCTTTTCATTTTGCTGTAATAACAAAAACAAGACACAGAGGATTTCTTTTTTAAGGAAGGATCAGTATCTTCTGGTTATGTGACATCAGATCTCGGGGAATTGGGAACAACATTGCATACAGGAAGAGTCACTGTAAAAACATGGGAACTGATGACACTGACTACATCAAATTGCCATGTTGTACCATATTCCTGCACTGCCTGCCCGCAAACTGGTATGCAAACTGCTGTGCTAAAATATGGATCTGCAGTGGAATGCTTTCAAAAGTGAGATGTGCTTAGGCCTGAGCACACAGATGGAGTAGGTATAGCCGTTACTGAGTCCATTTGAAAAACAATCCATGGAATAGCTGTCTTACAAAATTGGATGTTGTGGAATCATCCAAAGATTATGGTCAAGTTCTGTTCACTGTGCCGGTCCTAATGCCTCTTCCCTGAAGGTAGTAGTTTTTTCTACATTTAGATTCCTTTTCAGAAGTACTGCACTGTAAGTTCAGTTATAAGTTAATTAAATTAGTGAACCCTGTTCTGAGCATGTCAGTACACACAGCAGGTTTTGTTCTTATTATGCATGAAGAAAGATTTGCCAGGTTATTTACCTTCAGGTGATATGCTAAACAGGAATCTCTGCTGCTTGTTCCTTACAAGGATTCAAAAATGGTGTCAGAGGAGCTTGCACTAAATTGGGTTTACTGGGTTAGATGTTGGTTAGTTACTTCTTTGTTTTACAGGATCTTTAGAAAAGTAAAATGTCCTCCATACTGAAGATGCCTTAAGAAAATTAGTGTTCTTTATGATCAAATTAGTGTTCTTTATTTTGTAACACTAGTGTTCTACATTTGATTGCTGGTTTATATTTGAAGTCTAAGATCAGTGAAAATTATTAAAAAGTGAGGTTGATAGATGCAAGTAAATAAACACACTTAAACACACTTCCTCCTTGTCATCTCGTAATATTTCTTGAACTTTACATAAGCAAGCAGTTCAGTCAGTAACAGAGAGAATATTTATCTGAGATTTTTGACAGACATAGCTTCTTAGGCACTTGCTGGAGTTACTTTGGCTTTCTGTGTTTTTTTCATGCTAATTACAGTGTGTTAACACAATGTGGTTGCTCTTTGGCTATGCTGACCTCCACCTCTAACCTTCCAATACCACTGGTTCCTTTGGGCTTGTCTGACCCTGAACAGCTTCAGGGAACCCAAAAGGTAAAACTCTAACCTCATAACCACAGAGTTTAAAGTGTTTTTGGTGGTTTTATGCTCACAACTGTGTCACTGTGGAGTCGGATTAGCATTAGAGTTAGTGCAGAGGGAAACAGATGCCTTTGTTGTGGTGCAACACAAGTTACTGGGGAAAAGACACTACAAGAAGATAAATAAATAGAGAAGGGTGGAAAAGACACTGCAAGAAGATAAATAAATAGAGAAGGGTGGAATTACCAGTTATGGTGACTTGAGTCATGCTTCATCATATTTGGTGTTTTTATAAAAGGTAAAGCTGCAAGGATTATACAAATATATGAGAATCTCAGCATTACTATTGTAATGCCTGTATTTGAGAAGCAGTAGAGACCCGAGTTAAAAGCTGAGCTAACAGAAAGAAGAAAACTAATATTCTTCCCTATTTTATTTTAAAATCAAACAGTATTTTGAGCAGGTTTTTTGGGGTAATAGTTGTTTGTATGGCAAGATGACATTACAAGGAATTCAGATTTAGGTAGGTTCATTGGCAGATACATTTACAGAAGGATCAAATGAAGAGAGAAGGTGCTTTTTAAAAGCACTAGCTAATGTAATTTGAAATGTGCTTAGTATGGAAATGGATATAGTTACAATTTTGTGTGGTGTATCATTTCAGAAACTATAGTAAGTGTTCATGGAGAACAGGATGAATGTCTTTTAGAAACAAGGGTTAGGATTCAGTCACCTGAACATCAAGTGACATTTCATATACCTTTGGATATTCTTCCTTGTCTTCTAGCTTCTGCTATGGAAGGCAAGTTTCCCATTGGTTCTGTGTCCCAGGTCCTATAAGTCTAGGGTTTATAAAATGTCACTAGATTACAACATTTAGGCACTGAGTCACTCCCAAGCTTATTGTCCTTTTTGGCTCCATGTAGAAATTGTTCACCTATGTGCTTTGCCTGTTACCTGATTAGGCAACAAAAACATTCTAATCAGGAGAACAATGAATAATCAGTGCTGCTGTTTGGTGTGACATCTCATATTTTTTAACGTTAAAAGTACTGTATTTTTAATAATTTCACGGTAATTTGAATGCTGGCAAATAATGAATGATGAATGAGTTGACCTTATGAACTGTAGCAAACCCAAAGAACCTTTTTTCATTTACATAAAGATAAGATATTTGAGCAGTACTGATTGTACACTGAGAGAATGGATTGCAGGATAGCAATGGAGTGGAGTCTTAGTTGGTATATGCCCATTGCTGACCATTAAATTCATTAGTTTGCAATTATTTTTAATTTGACATGAACACAAATTTTTATGGTAGGATTAAATTTATTTGGCAGTATTGTATTCTTTTTCTCTGACTGATCTGCTTTTTCATTTTCAAAATGGAGAAGCATACCCCTAAAAAGCAAGTACTGTTTCCAAATTCTCTACAATCAAAATCATATCCAGACACTCAGAGAGCTCTGAAGTCCTCCATAAACAATCTTAAGGAAGGAGTTTTTTTATAAAGTATTTCTCCAGACATATACTGAATGTATCAACCAAGTTTGCTTTGGGCAAAACAGTAATTTAGACATACCTGGCTGATAGTGGTTTTTTGCGTCCTCCGAAATCTTTCTGTGTAATTGGGATTCAAATGTGAGCAGTTTGAGGAATCTTCTCTGACAGCGCAGGGGGCTCTTGGCAGAGACAGCCTGATGGAGGGGAATCTATCTGCTTAATTTGCAGATATGCTCCTGAGAACTTGATCTGCTGTGGCTAACAGGCTGTGACTGTTTTTTTTTCTTTCCTCTCTTGTCTTTAGATGGCACAACAAGAAACCCACCAGCCTCCAGAAGCTTTAACTCTTTGCAGTAGAACAAGATTAGAGTGACAGAAGATGCCTCTTAGTTAGATTGTAAATGTCTGCAGCATACCCTTCTTTAGGGTTTAATTTTTTGTACTGCTAAACCTGTCAACCTCCTGATCTTTTTCGGAATATTTCAGTCCTATTTTAAAACGTAATTTAAAGTAAATTTTGAGTTAAAAGAAAAAATAATTTTTATAGCTAGTAAAAGAAAACAACTCTTGCTGATTGGCATATTGCTTCTTTTCCCCAGGAGTGCTCTGCCCTGAGTAAGCAACGACATTGAAACAGAGCAAAGTAAATGACAAATGCATGCAATTCAGTGAGTGAGGGCTGACTGAAAGTCCAACTTGAAGTCCACTAAAGTAATTAGAAATGTCTTTTTTTTTTCTACTTCAGTGGCCTTCTGATCAGACCTTAAAAGACTAATAAAACTTTGCACCCTTCTGTGGCATTTTTCATCAGTTTCACAATGCTTTTCTCCAACAAAAAGTAATTAGACTCTGTGAAGTCCTCTGGGAACACGTCCTTTCAACAGCTAGCAGTGCTGGGGCACAGAGGATAAGCTGCTTGCATAACATAGCACAACAAATAAACAGAAAAACTGTGAAAACAATTCACTCTTCCTAGCTCCCTGCTTTTGTTTTCCTGGCCCTATTTCACCCACTCCTGAGTTACAACATCTGCTGCACAGTATTTTAGAAATATCTCAACTCCCATTTGAAACTGCTGTGAGAATAGAAATAGAAGGAAATGGAATTTGATTAGTACAGCAAAGCAAACATACCAAATGTTTGTGAAAATTGTCTTGAGAGTTTGAATAACTGTAATGCAGATAGGATGTGGTGACGTTTCTCATCTGAAATACAGCAGTGCTAAGGCACTGTGCTCTGTAGCATCCATATAGGCTTTTTACTTCTTTACTGAAAAAAGGTGAAAGGAGACTGTACTGCAGAGTTGAATGCTAAAGAACTTTGCCCAAATT